CAGTATGTACAGTGCTATGTTGGTGGGAGAGCTTCTCCCGCAAACATAGCTACCGCCACTTGTTGGGGGTGGTGTAATTATGTCGACAAGAGAGCTCTCTCCCCTCAGCATAGAGCAGCTACACAAGAGATCTTACAGCAGCGCAGTTGCATCAGTACAGCTGGGCTGCTGTAAGCTCTCTAGTGTGGACAGAGCCTAAGAGGGTTTCTGTTGGGGCTGGTTGCAAACACAGGTACTAAAGGATTTTTTGGCAAGAATCTGAGTGTCTGAGAGTTAGGAAGCCCACAAAACCAGAGAAGCAGTCATGAGCATAGCCCTGAAAGGGAGCAGAGAGACAGAGCTCCTTGGGCACAGAACACGCTGGACATGCAGGCTTGGAAACTCTGAGGAAGGAAACTGCCGGCTGTTTGTTTCTGTAGTGTTCAGAAAAACATGACTTTGTGTACACACTTTGTAAATAAACAGGATTGCACCAAAAAATACATCTGACGTGTAGCATCCAAAATGGTTGCTGACAGAAACGACCCAGCAAGGCCCCACATACTGGCTAACTATTCAGATAAAAAGGGGCAACAGACTGAAATTAATGACTAGGAAAACTTATTTTCCACTAAAGGAAACATTCATAATAACTCTTCCCCCAGCCCTTAAGCCTGCCAAACTGGCCTCCATCAGAACATATTTAATCAAAAGCTACATACCTGGTGTACAGGGCCCCTTGTCTGCTGATTCCTCCTGTTCCTTCAGAATACCCCAACTATCATTTCAACTGCCCTGTCTGGATCCTGGGACTTCCCAGAGATATCCTGAAAACCTGGTAATGTCCCTCTGGTACACTCAGGCTTGATCTACACTAGCAACTTATGACGGTATAAAATCCACACCACTGAGAGACGCGGCTATACCAACCTAACTCCAGGTGTAGACAGCACTAAGTTGATGGGAGGGCTTTTCCCATCAACATAGCTACTGCCTCTCGGGGAGGTGGATTACCTACTCTGACAGGAGAAGCCCTCCTGTAGGCATAAGTAGAGTCTTCACCGAAGCACTACAACGGCGCAACTACATCGGTGCAGCCGCACCGCTGCAGCATTTTAAATGTAGACAAGTCCATAGTCCATGGAACAAGAAGTATTGTCCTCTTCATCCCTCACCTATCATTGCAAGTTGCTTCCATTCTATTACGCAGCTCCTCAAGCTGCACTGAAGGGCGAGTTCTGAGGATTCAGTCCAGCTCATCATAAAATGGACATGCTTTCCACCCTGAACGAGACATATATGATGTAAAGCTCATGTAAATTAGATCAGAATCAGATCCATAGGTATGTATCACACATACGTAACACAGAACTTATATACAATGTGTACAGCATTTCTCTACATTAGAGTTCTCAACTCCCTTGTTTCTGATGGACAGACCTTAATTTTGTGCAAAAATCTTCCTCTTCACCCAAAAAGTCCCCTAGAAGTCATTTCACTTAGACAGAACTGAGATGAATGTCCCCTGCACAGCTCCTTTCTTCCCTCCCTCTCTCCCAGCCCCACTGCCCCAACATCACCGTTACTATTGGCATTTACAAAGACAGGTATTCTCAGCACAAACAGCTGAATAGCTAAAGAGCCACATCATAGAGTAGGTGACACACAAGTAAAATTTCTTTCAAAGATTTAAATATACATCATCTATTATCTTTCAGCAGTGTTTTCTCTTGCCTACCTGAGTTAACCCCCTTCTACTGACACTGTAGCCTTTTCCTGAAGCTCCAATCTGTTGCTTCTTTCCTAGGTATCTCACAACAGTGCTGACGGCTATGTTGCGTGTTTCCCACCAGGACTAGTTCCTTCCTGGTGATTTTTGTACCCTGGACCTGGCCAACATCCCTTCTTTGCTCCTCAAAGTCTTCTCAGCTGTCTCCCCAGGGAGATCATGTGATTGTATTTCTAACACTCTGGCTGACTGGTACACCCACACTGGTAAAACGGGTCTGCCTGGCTCTTCCACATACAAATACCCCCTGCAGCTTTGACAGCAAAGGCCAGAGAGAGTCCTGGGGCGGGGACCTCAGAACATAGCGATCAAGAAAGAGAAAGAAAGGCAGACACAAACACAAATCAACAGAGGCACAGAGAAAGAATGAAAAAGAGAAACTGGGGAACAAGAAAACACCCAAAGTAACACACTTCTGTCATCTTTTTCAGAAAGAATTGGTGCACAGAATAAAGAACCTGTAAAAAAAAAAAAATCCCAAAAGCTAAAGGCTCCAGACACCAGGGAACCTTTCTCAAGCAGAACAGATCCTGAGGGACAATATGCAGGGATTTTTCCAAATATTTATTCTACTTTTTTTTCTCCCTTTGTGGGTGAATTAGTGACTCAGAGAGGGAGACAAAGACTGATAGCATTGGGTAGGCTGGCCACATAGACAGAGGCCAGTGCAAGCTTTCTTCACATATAAACCTGTCACTTCACCTCAGTTCTACCCTGTAGCCCCTCTGCTATTGCAGTCCTGGGCTCACACACAGCTCTGTCAATGCCCCACAACCCTGACCTACCACAACTCTTCATCTCAATACAGCTATTTCAGTTCTTCACAAAGCTCTGCCAATGCATCTCATATCTGATTCCTGACTAGCAGCTCCGCCTGCTATTCAAGTCCTGTGTCGCACACCCAGCTCAGTCAGTGCACCTCAATCCTGATCTGCAGCACACACTGCTATTCCAGTTCCAGAAGTCAGCTCAGCTGCCACTGTAAAACCTTCCATTCGAGTTTCATGTTACTGCTATCAAGTTATGCGAATGGATACAGGATTATTTGCTCAGCTATTTAATAAAAGTGGGTGGTGGTTATATTACAACAGGAAATTACATATCACCTGCTGTTGAGACACAGAGTCCGTTTCCCAGGCAATGACATGCTGCAGGTGGCTTTGGAGAGAGATGCATCCTGATATGATCACAATCAACCACCTGGAGCAGAATAAACCTTTTCCCTACTAATACTTGGTGTTGTGCTTATGATTTCTTTTGGGTAGATTTTAGCGGTGGTAAAAGATGATGGTTTGACAACGCTGGAGAATGAGGTAGTTCATTTGGCCACAGAAGAGAAACAGCAGAGATGGTCGTGGTGTTCCCTGAACCTCCCTTGGCCATTGTGCCTTACCTCTTCACAGTACAGCCTGCCTGTCAGAAGTAGGAAAGAGAGTTGTTGGTTCTCTGGTCCATCATTGCTTGGTCTTTCTAATGAGACTGGCAGTAAGAGCAAATTAGTGTCAGTGAAAGTGTTTTTTTGTGATGACTCTTGCCCACTGGTAACCAGTGAGGCCTTACCTGCATTGAAGATTTGCCCCAGTTACCAATTTTGATATAACATCATCAGTGCAAATCAGTGCCAGGCACTATTTCTTATTAACATTGGTGCAAGGGAAGATGAGTTGAATCTGAGGGGTGTCTCTTCTGTGAAAACAGCAGGAACTCCATTGTACACCCTGTTCCCTATTGAAAGATGGTAGAAAGAGCAGATGAATCATAAGGGTCTGTTCTCTATTTAATCAGGGTGCAAGGTCTGTGAGGTGACACCTATGGTTACATTCCTCATGGAGAACCTAGGGAACATGTTCAAGTTTCCTGTTTCTATTAATGGACAACCTGCTTCCCTTCTTCCAGTCTCGTTTCTCCTACCTCCTGACTCTAGGCAGAATGGTGGGAGAGATAAGGGGTTCATATTCTAAGCCTGCTTTTGAGCAGCTGCTTCTGTTGTTATTGATTTCCCCTTTTAAATCTACTTCCTGTGCTATTCCAGTCAGACTGGTTGAAGGAGATATTTGCAGAGTTCAGAGTTCAGGTCTCAGGACATGGCCCCCTCCCTGTTCCACTCTCCTGCCCCTCTTCCTGTTTGGTTCAAGGGACAGGAATCAGTCACTTTCAGATTTTCTCTTGTGAAAAACAAACATTTCTGCTAGGAGAAAACCTCTCTCTCTCTCTCTCTCCACATCATAAAGAAAACACAACATTGTTTAAATACTTTTGTTTAAGTAGATATTTTTAGCTCTGGTGAAAGGTAGTGGATTGACAGCCCTGCTAACTCAAGTTGTATTTTGATCTCAGAACAGCAACAGCACAAGCAGTGACAGTGCAAACTACACAGACATACACCATCCCTACCAATATGCTTATGGAGGTAGGATGATAATTCAGTCACTGTGGTCATTTCAGTCCTGGGCCTCTCTGATCAGACTGCCAACAAGAGTGCCAGTTTTGATAGCCCAGTTCCTAATGGCTAATACAATACAATTCCTAATACAATAGACAATAAATCATGCAATCTAAGACTGGAGTGGTCTCACCCTTAATTATTTTATCAGCAATCCACTATTGCAGATATAGTTTTGCTAATATCAAAACCTGCCTGGGCTTATTCAATCATTTCCAAAGTGCCAACAAGACATTGCCTTCATAAAAATAAGTTGTTTGGGGTTTTATATTTTAGGACCTGATACTGCCCAGTATTCAGTGGGACTACTCAGAAATGAAGGTAATCTGCAAGGAAAGTGTGTCCAAATCAGGCCCTCAATATATTTGTAATAGCATGGAAGTTTTCTGTATTATTTTTTATAAATAATGTTTGAACCTCATAGCTAAGGTTAAGATTCTGTCACAGGTATTTTTATTAAAAGTCAGGGACAGGTCACAGGCAACAAACAAAAATTCATGGAAACCCGTGACCTGTCCCTGACTTTTACTAAAAATACCCTAGGGGGGATGGGGTGGGGATTAAGTCAGAGTGCTGTCGGCAGCTGCTCCAGCCCCACTGCTGCTTTGGGGCCCTGGGCCAACTGCTCTGGGCGTCAGCCCACCGGCCAGTTGTTCCAGTGGCCTCAGGGACCACTGCTTTTGTGGCCCCAGGGCTGGCAACCAGCTGCTTTTCCAGCGGCCTCAGGGCTGACCACGGGCTGCTGTTCGGGTGACCCCAGGGCTGACCACTGGCCACTCTTCCAGTTACCTGACAACCACTGCTCCGGTGGCCCCAGCTGCTCTGGTGGCTTGAGGGTCATTATTCCTGCGTCCCTAGGGCTGACTGCTGGCTGCTGCTCCAGACCCACCACTGCTCCTGCGGCAGGGGCTGACAGCTACTGCTCCAGCCACGGTGGGGCTGACCCAATCCCAGTCGCTGCTTCAGCCCTTGAGCCACTGCTCCAGCAGCCTTGGGACTAACAGCTGCTCCACACTGCCCCGGGAGAAGTCCCGGAGTCCCGGATAGTCACAGAATCCATGACTTCCACGACAGAATCATATTCTTAATGTAATATATAGATAGGCATTCTAAAGCCTAAGCTGAAAAGAAGTCTTAAGGATGCTCGTATACTACAACTTTTAAACAAGTTTTAGCCAGTCAGGAATATAGTTGGTGCCAAACTTAGTTTGTACCTAGACACACCATTAATACATAGGGTTGCTAACAGTCCCTTAGTATAAGGGACATCCATTTTTCATCTCTGTACAAATTGGAAGTTGCTGAGTGCTGCAAAAAGTAGCAAGAAATGCCTCTGTCAAAAACAGGGGAGTACTGCTTATTATTATTATTGTTGTTAGGAGAAAGGGTGGGGCCAGGGTGCTAAAAAAGCAATCTCTCATTTTTGAAATACAATGTTGACAAAAGTTAGTAACCATGGCAACTAACAGTGTTTTTCCCTTGCAGATAAACTGAGACATGGTTGTCATTGGGTAAAAGTCTGGTGCACTGTTGTTTTCATATTGGGTTCCGGGAGGTGGGCAGGCACAAGCCCACCCACGGCTAAAGGACCCTCCCCTAGCCTATGGGGAGGATCCACTGAACCTGGGACTCAAATAATTATAGGGGGCAACAGAAAAAATAACAAGGATGGGTATGAAGGTCAAAGGGTCAAAAGTAGGGAACCTGAAGGGGATACTGATCAGAAAACCCTGGATGGCACTTGCTGCTCCTCAAAGGTGTCAAGGGAGCCAATGGATGCCACCCAGAGGAACTCTGCCCGGTTATGTGAGCTGAGAGAGAACAGAAATAGGCCCCACAGTCGCAGAGAACTCCCTCAGCCAACATCCTCTCCCTGGTGTTATAGATGGCTACTTTGGCGATCGCTAAGAGGAAGTTGACAAGGAGGTCCTGTGACTTTGTGGGGCCACAGAGAGGGTGTGCATGTATAAGAAGGTGAGGGGGAGAGTGCAGCCAAAAATGTAGGAGGTCCAGGAGGAGATGGAAGAGGGGGTGCAACCTGGCACACTCAAGATAGGCGTGCACCAGGATCTCCCTCACGCCACGAAACGGACAGGCAACGGAAACGGGGTGAAGTGTCCAAGGTATATGCCCATACTCACGGCTCCGTGAAGGAGCCACCAACAGATATCCCCAACAGGCCATGAGGCCAAGGTGGAATATAGGCTGGCCCACCGGGGTTCCTGACCCTCAACAGGTGGCATTAGGTCCCGCCACTCAGTGTTGGGGTGGGACACAAGGGTGAGGAAATGGAGAGTATGGACCATGAGCATCTACAGATGTGCCCTTGGTGCCGTTTGAAAGTGAACCGGTTGCAGGTCTTGCAGCCTGCTCAAGGTATATGGGTGGGGTGGCCAGGGGAGCTCAGGGGTGTGGGGTGGGTGGGACCATAGGACCCGCTTGAGGTAAGCCCGAGAGGTGGCAGGCAAGGCTGCCCTCACCTCCTGAAGTGTGCACTGTTGTTTTGAAAGGAAGGAAGGAATCTCTAACCATGGCTGATATTTAGCCAGTGCTCCTTTCTGTGAATCAAACAGTCCATTGCCCCAGGTGCTGCTGATGCTGGCCTGTGGACATGTCCTTCAGGCACGCTGCACCCTGTTGAAGAAGTGTGAGTGAGCTGCCTAGAATTTCTGAGAATGCAATGATACAAGCAAGGTCAGGCATCCTGATATGGGCAATTATGCACACATGTTGTGACAAAGGTACTGTCTGAACACAACTACACTGTTCTGAGTTAGAGGAGAGGATCATGACCTGGTTACAAAAAAACATGGTTAGTACTTGTAGCATGGACAGGGCGTAAGTGGGGAAGCTCTTGTGAACACAGCAGAGAAAGTTGTAAGGACCCAGTCATGGGGCATTGCTGCCACATAGTGCCCCCCTACTGGACAAGTGTGCCACTACACCTGCTTCCTGTCTCACTTTCCTCCCTGAAGGTGAGTCTCCTCAGCTCTCCACACTCCAGTCTCTGCTGGTGATATGGTTTAGGCTGGGAGCTCCAGGTTCCTCTGCCACCCACGGTGGCTCGGACCTCCAGTCCACCTGCTGCCTGCAATGGCTGAGAGCTGTGGGGCCCCCGCCATCCACAGTGGCTGAGAGTTCCAAGGCCAGTGGCTTGGAGCTCCAGATCCCCACCACCACCACCAGCAGCTGAGAGCTGTGGGCCACTCGCCACCGGCTGGAACTCCAGAGCTCCCGCAGCCTGACAGCTCTGGCCCACCACACCAGGGCTGGAGTGGAAAATGTCACAGAATCTGTGACTTCCGTGACCTCTGTGACATAATCTTATCCTTACTCACAGCATAAGGTTACTATTTTACTGTCTGCTACATTGCAACAAAGAGTTTACTCAATCCTGGAGGGTATACACTTCACTAGGAAGGCAGACAATGACTCTAACTCAGTTGCAGGTGTTTAACAGAAAACACAGTGAATCCGCTACTGGGAGTCTCTCTGACTCCCTTGGTGAGATGCGTAATATGGATAAAAAGGCTGCCTGTGAGGAGGAGACACTGACTGAGCCCTGGTCTGCACTACGGTGTTAGGTCGAATTTAGGCGTTAGGTCGATTTTAAAATGACTGCGTCTACACAACCCACCCCGTTCCGCCAACCTAAAGGGCTCTTAAAATCGACTTCTGTACTCCTCCCCAGCGAGGGGAGTAGCGCTAAAATCGACTTTGCAGGGTCAAATTTGGGGTAGTGCAGATGCAATTCAACAGTATTGGCCTCTGGGAGCTATCCCAGAGTGCTCCAATGTGACCGCACTGGACAGCACTTTCAACTCTGATGCACTAGCCAAGTACACAGGAAAAGCCCCAGGAAATTTTGAATTTCATTTCCTGTTTAGTCAGCGTGGCGAGCTCAGCAGCACAGGTGATCATGCAGTCCCCCCAGAATCACAAACGAGCTCCAGCATGGACCGAAAGGGGGACACTGGATCTGATTGCTGTATGGGGAGAAGAATCTGTGCAGGCCGAACTCCGATCAAAAAGAAGAAATGCTAATATATATGCCAAAATCGCACAGGGCATGGTGGAGAGAGGCTACAACAGGGACACACAGCAGTGTTGCGTGAAAGTCAAGGAACTCAGGCAAGCCTACCAAAAGACAAAGGCGGCAAATGGTCGCTCTGGGTCAGAACCCCATACATGCCACTTCTATGATCAGCTGCATGGCATTCTAGGGGGGGACCCTACCACTATCCCACCACTGTCCGTAGACACCTGCAAGGGGGGAGTCTCACGCAACAGGGAGGAGGATTTTGTGGAAGAGGAAGAGGAGGAGAATGAGAATGCACAGCAGGCAAGTGGTGAATCCGTTCTCCCTGGCAGCTAGGACCTGTACATCACCCTGGAGCCAGTACCCTCCCAAGGCGGGATCCCCGAATCTGAAGCTGGAGAAGGCAGCTCTGGTGAGTGCACATTTGTAACTACAGTACAGGGTTTAAAAGCAATAGTGTTTAATGTTTGATTTGCCCTGAAGAATTGGGATGCATTCGCAGCCAGTAGAGCTACTGGAAAAGTCTATTAACGTGTCTGGGGATGGAGCGGGAATCCTCCAGGGACATCTCCATGAAGCTCTCCTGGAGGTACTCTGAAAGCCTTTGCAGAAGGTTTCTGGGGAGGGCTGCCTTATTTTGTCCTCCATGGTAGGACACTTTACCATGCCAAGCCGGTAGCAAGTAAGTCTGGAAACATTGCAGCACAAAGCATGGCAGTGAATGGTCCTGGGTTTTGGTCGCATTCAAGCAACATTTGGTCTTTATCTTTCTGTGTCAGCCTCAGGAGAGTGATATCATTCATGGTCACCTGGTTGAAATAGGGGAATTTTTGTAAGGGAACAGTAAAAGGACCCCATTCATGCTGGGTTGTTTGCGCTTGGCTAAAAGGAATCATCCCGGAGAATAGCCATGTGGTGGGGTTGGGGGAGGTGTGTGCTGCACATCCACCCGAAAACCGCAGCCCCTCCTTTTAAATGTGAAACTCAACCGGCATTGCTTGCTATGGGAAAGGATGGCGTTGCAGTTTGAAACCATTCCCACATGTCATGAAGGCATAGGAAGCCAACTCCGTGTACCAAAAGACTTACCACGGCTGCCTGGAAACCGAATTCTGTTGTCCAGCCGTTTGTGATGTGTCACCATACCAGCAGGCGGTCAATATAAAAAGCAAAATGCGACCTTGCACCTAAAGCACATATGCTGTCTGCTTGATTCACTGTGAAAGAGTCTCCCTTTTGTTCTCAGAAATGTATCATCTTAAATTTTACTCTCCTTTTTTATATCCCCCCAGGTACAAATGTTTCTATGCTTCCCCCATCATCTCCATCCCTGAGGTTATCGCAGATTAGAAGGTGAAAAAAACCGCACTCATGATGACATGTTTTCTGAGCTCATGCAGTCCTCCCACACTGATAGGGAACAGCTTAATGCATGGAGGCATTCAGTGGCAGAGGCCAGGAAAGCGTTAAGTGAATGCGAAGAGCAGAGGCAGGAGGCTATGCTGAGGCTAATGGGGGAGCAAACAGACATGATGAAGTGTCTGTTGGAGCTGCAGGAAAGCCAACAAGAGCACAGACCCCCGCTGCATCCATTGTATAACCACCTGCCCTCCTCCCCAAGTTCCATATCCTCCTCACCCAGATGACCAAGAATGTGGGAGGGGAGGGAGGCTCAGGGCACCCAGCCACTCCACTCCAGGGGATGGCCCAAGCAACAGAAGGCTGTCATTCAAACAGTTTTGATTTGTAGTGTGGCTACAATAAGCAATGTGGCCTTGTCCTTCCCTCCTCCTGCACCCCAC